GTCTGGTGGGGGGGTGACAGGGTGAGGATGGGTCTGGTGGGGGGGTGACAGGGTGAGGACGGGTCTGGTGGGGGGGTGACAGGGTGAGGACGGGTCTGGTGGTGTGACATTCAGGACTATAAAAGCTTTTTCATCTGAGCTCGGCTGCAGTCGGGCGTTTGTAGCTAAACCACAGCAGAGCCTGCTCCGTGCACACCTGAGGACTGACGAGCGGCACAAAAACAGGTAACTACTGTTGTTTTTATTGTTATTGTCAATTATTTTATTATTTATTGTCTGCTGCTCTGGGAAAAATAAAAACAATAAACGGTGTTGTTTAACTGTGGTTGTCAGAAATCTCACAGCTGAGATTTGTTCTTTGTTTACTATGAAACACTGTCAAACTGTTTATGGTAATAAAAAAATACTGCAACTCTAATAACAGTTTTTTAGTAAATATAAACTCGTATTATGGTATTGAGTTTAAACCTTCAAATTTAGACATTTACATTCATATAACATGAACATCATAAGAAATTCATCATAAAATCTACAATGGAAATATCAAACGCAGTGCAGGAAAAACGGTTGATTTCCGTTAAATACCAACAGTTATTGTTGCCTCGTCACAGAAACTGCAACAACTACATAAACTAAAATAATCGTGCAGAACTTTTAGTCCAAGGGAGGCAAAATTATTGCAATGAAAGGTCCATTATAAGAAAATTCATGCATTAAAAATCCCAATGATGTCTACAAACAAGTACTAACTGAGAAACGTAAACTAGTCAAAGTACAAAGGTTTACTTTCAGGACCAATAAAGTTTTTTCTTATCTTTCCTTCATTTGATACTTTTGTTGGAGTGTCTAGTTTCAATCCCGAGGCAGCACATTGGTTCAAATGAAACCAGTTTAAAGACTTTAAGTTTGACAGACATCAGATAAATCTGAGGAACTGTTTTATGATTCCCAAGAAAACAAAGTTCGGATGGTTTCATTCATATTTTTGTGTTTCCATCGTTGTTTATTTGCCTGCATGACACTCGTGCAGTTTTTGTTGTATCTCGACAGTTTATGTATCAAAACGTTCAGCTCATTCAGCACATTCCTGCTATGACGTTGGGTTTTTGAACATTTTTTGACTTTTTACAAATATTTAGCTTTTTCAACCATGTTTTTCTCTTTGAAAAAGGGGCTCTGTTCACATCCTTCAAACCCTCTGTGCTGTTTTACAACTCATTTAAATGTTTGTTCTGGTTCCGCTTTTTTCAGCTTCTCTCTGCTAATTTCACCTTTTTATATTAGTTTTGACCATCCATCCATCCATCCATCCATTACCTTTACCCGCTTATTCCATTTTGGGTCACGGGGGTCGCCGGTGACCATGTCCAGCAATCACTGTGCGAGGGGCGGGGTACACCCTGGACGGGTCGCAAGTCCATCACAGGGCCCTTTTTTTTCAGCTTATTTTCTTTAATTATTTACAGGTTTTTTTTGTTGTTGTTGCTAATTTAAGTTATTTTTTGCTGAATTTAGTTTATTTTTTGCTAATTTCAGATTAATTTTTAAATAACCAGTATTCAACCTTGCTCTGCCTATTTCTGCAAATTCTGCAATTTTCTGCTTCATTCCTGCTCCATTTAGCTTTTTCTACACATTTATGCCATTTCCACACAATGTTCTGCTATAATTTTCCTGCTTTCAACAAATTCAACTCACATTAACAGTTCAGTGATGAAACTTTTTCAGCTGGTTTCAGCTTCTTCAGCATCTTTCAGCAGAACTTGTTCCGCAACAAGCAATCACACTGCATTTTTGCAGGAAATGCAATTTTTCTAGTTATTGTTATGTACATAACACGACATATAACATATGTTATATAAAGTATGTATTAAGTATTTATTAAGTTTCCGTAACTTTGTCGACTGAAATGTGTTTTGTGATCAGGCATGGATGTAAACGCCACATCCAGCTCTCAGATCCCCACTATGGTAAGAATGATAGAAATCACTTCCTCCACATTTGTTACCATTTCAATAAAAATGTAAACTCTTTGCTTCTGTTCACACCTGGAAGTTGTCGTCGGTTCTGTCCACTCTTTCTCTTCCACGCCTCTCCCTCCTGGCTCCTGACCCTCCTCTCTCTTCGTCCTCCCCCTCTCCTCCTCCTCAGCATGCTGACGCTCTGTGTGGCAGCTGCTCGCCCTCTGGTTCTGCTCCACAGACCGCCGGCCTGTGGCCCACCCTGCCGCCGTCTGGATCTGGGTTCCCCACCTGGCCGGGGCAGCCCTCTCAGCCTGTTGTACCGTGCTGGACCGGCCAGCCCAACACCTCCTGCTGGCCCGCTGCACAACCAGCTCCGGTTACCTTTCCTGCTCCGGTTTCAGTCACGGCCCCGGCTCAGGTTATAGCACCACCGCCGGCACCGACCACAACCCTGGTCCCAGCTCAGCTTCCAGCTCCCACAGGGCAGCCGTCATGTCAGCCGTGCTGGCCGGGCCCTCAGTACCAGCCTCTCCAACCACCGCCAGCTCCAATCCAAGCCCAAGTCCCAACCCCGGTCCCTGCTGTGACACCTGCTGCCAGCATCCACCCAAGTGTGCCCGGTTGGCCTGCTCACCCTGGCTGGCCTTATAACCCGGGACAGTCAGGATGGCCCGGACAGAATCCATCTGTCGTACCTCTACACTGGCTGCCACCCACATCTGGACCTCTTGTGAGTCGGACACAGAGAGCGTAACTTATGCATACATTAAAAAGTTGTTTCCTAGTTGCCAGGTAGCCTGATGTTGCCTGTTCTCTCGGTGCTTCAGAGCGTCCCGTACAACTTGAATTTGGCTCGGGGGGTGTATGACAAGATGATGATGACCATCCTGGGTCATGTCAAACCCAACGCAAAGATGTGAGCTCAATCCTACACCTGCATGTCCGTCTCTGGTCTGTGGCTAACACACGCCATCCTTAACTCGCATCAATTATTCATCTTTCATTTATTCTTCGTTTGGGTCCCCAAAGGTTCACAATAAACTTCCTGAGAGGGAACGATATTGCCTTTCACATCAACCCACGCTTCAACGAAGGCGGGAAGCAAGTGGTGGTCCGGAACCACAAGGTGGGAGAGCGCTGGGGCCTAGAAGAGAGGGACCTGAAGGGACCCTTCCCTTTCGCTGTTGGAAGCCCCTTTGAGGTGAGAAAGCAGGAATTAGATGAAACTTCATGCTGACACCAATAAATATTTACCAATCGGACTGTAATGCACAAAACAGGTTAAAGGTCACCCTTACTCAGATTGAACCTGCCAAATTCTTTAAAATCTGCATTTGCAACATAAACACTAAACAAACAAGAGTGAGGCAGTGTTGTGTCATTTTAATTTACCACGTGATGAAAACTTCATGTTAATGCTATGCAGGGTGTAAATGACTGACCCCCGGTCACTCTCTCATGGTTAACATCAGGCTAACGGTTGGAAAAGGTGCAAAGGGTTGGAAACATGTTTGTGCAGGCGCATCCTAGATAAGACCGCTGCTATACTGCAGGAGGGCCTGTGGAGGTCAGTGGGGGTCTCATGTTGCTCATTAACACCAAAAACATTCACGCTCAACCACCGAGTAAAGCAACGGTTCTGAACTTTTGCAGTGGGGCTTTGTGGAAAGGTCAAGAAGAACAAGTGTCTTACCTGTTGTAGATGGTCTTTGTATATCCTCAGCTTGGAGAAATTGAGTTTATTTCTGACAGGATTAATGAGCTAATGGCTAATTGTAGCGCAGCCAAGTCTTAAATGGATTGCCGCCGTCTTAAAACAGCGAATTATAGATGTTTATTTGAATAAACCTTTACATTGTTGTTGTTGTTGTTTATAAGTTACACAGTAATTTACACAGAATCAGTTGATCATGTGCAGGCAAGAAGAGCAGCCGCAGCTGTACCTGGAGTCAGATTAACCATCTAATGTGAAAGTAATGGTTTAAATTATTATTATTAGATGAACGGTTCTAAAAGTTTTGACACGGGAGTCGTTTTAAAACGGGTTGCTATTTTAAAACAAGTTCATTTTAGTCTTTGTTGAGTTTGGACTGGTTTTCAGCCCATCAATCTGGACTAATTTAAACTTTGTTTAATCAAACTGAGGTCAAAAATATATCTACAGCAGGTAAGATATTGTGTTCAGATTTTTTTTCCACAGAAGCCCACTTCAACGAACTCTGAACCATCCCTTTAATTTGGTGCCACAGTGTTATACACATTTTTTTTTTGGCTTGCTCTTTTAAATATTTTTACTCTCACATAAAAATTTCATAACATAGAAGCCGTTTTAGAAACGTTTCATCTAATGTCCAGTTCACTTGAAAAGAGCTCTTTTAACTTTCTGCTCTGAGTGTGCCTGAAGCTGAAGGTTTGTCTCCCTCCAGATGAAGATCCTCTGCAGTCCCGAGGCCTTCAGGGTGGCGGTGAACAACATCCCCCTGTTTGAGTTCCGGCACCGGATCCGAGAGCTCAACCAGATCGACCGGATCAACATCTTAAACGACGTCATCCTCACTTACATCAACGTGGAGACGCTGCCTTAAGGACTGAACTGCTCCTGACACTAACTCTGCAAATGTGCACACATAGGCGCCTTTTCTATGCAAGAGCTTGCAGGTACTAAAACTGTTCTGTTTTTAAAGAAGCTTTAACGTAGCTCAGTTTTATTAAAGACTGACGCTGAGGTTAATGCAGAATAAGCACAACGTACAGTTTATTGCACACACGTATTTATTCGTCTGATTAAAGATGCGTCTGTTTTTACTGTGTGTGATGTTTTCTACTAACAGACGTTTTACTGAGAATTAAACCTGTTGAAATAATTTCACCACTTTTAACCGCCGAGACTATCAAATAAAATCATGAGCAAGAATTTGAGTTCAGCCTTCGCTCTTTTTTTTAATTTTTTTAAATAAAGTTGAACAATTTTGCTGTTTTAAAAACTGTATTCGAATCTCCTGCTGAGAAATTAAAAAAAGTCCAGCAGAACTTTAAAATTTATTTAAAAATATATACAAGCAGATTAAGACAAAATTGAAACTATTAGATGTTATAAACACTAAAAATGCACAGAAGTTCCAGCTGTTTTTTTGGGAGGGGGGGCATCAAGAAACAGATTACTTAGGCTAAACATTACAAATGACCACTGACACCCGTAAATATTTTTAGCTGATGCTTAAATACTTTTAGCTGATGCTTAAATACTTTTAGCTGATGCTTAAATACTTTTAGCTGATGCTTAAATACTTTTAGCTGATGTCTACAGATTCTCAGACATGGTCTTGTCACGACAGCAGGAGGTTGAAAGCAGGAACGCAGACCGACACGACTCAAAAATAAAACTGAACTTTATTGCAAAAAACCCCCAAAATGCCGATGTAGCAGCAGAACTTAATTCCTGGAGGGGGTCACGGACAGGGCATGCAACGCGCATAATGCTCCACTGATGTCTGGACTGAACACTAACTAAGGTCCAAAACAACAAACCAGAAGCAACATTGCTTCCACTTAAAAAAAAATAAACTGCTCTGCTTGCCTACAAGGTATTCACTGTGAATCTAAGCTGCTGAGTGACTGCTGGTTCAGGTTGTGTTTGATTATATAAATCAATTCAATTGAATTTTTTCTCCAAGTTGGATTTATTTATTTATTTAAATTTGTTGTCAATTTGAGGACAATGAATGAAGTCATGTTATCAACTCTCCAATTTTAGGCAAGCATATTTAAATCTACATGCAGCATTAAAAAAAACTAGAGCCCGCCCGATATATCGGTAGGGCCAATATTTTAGGTCAATATAGACATTTGGGGACATATCGATATCAGTGATAATTATCGCAATATGCGATATAAATACTTCTTATTTTCACCCCTAAAACACTGGAACCAGCTGTAATGTATCCAGCAGAGAGCGCATGTGGGCTACTTTCAAGTCATGGTCAAAGGTTCAGGAATATTTTGCTAACACACACAGGATCAATGCAAACAGTTAATGTTTAAAGTAAAAGTACTGCAAATTGCACATTATTTAAAATACATATTGAGGATGACTCAGGCACTGTAATTACTCCTCATTATGCCACGTATTTGAGACACAAGGGTTGACAGGGTGCTGGGGACACCGTCGTGGTCGACATGCGTCAAGTGGCTTGGAGTCTGGTAAGAACCGCTCGCAGTTCTTGTTTTGTTTTTAACCTCTGCTCTTTCCGTGACTTCCTCGTTTTTTCCCTCTGTTGTGCGTGTGGATTTTAATTTTAATGTTATTTGTTCAAAATTTGCATTCATATCTTTTTTTTTTTATAAAATGCGGCAGAGACAAAGAAAAATTATGCCTTCATAAAAACTTTACAAAAAGAGGATGTGAGCATAAACCTCATGCATCATGTTTTCCGTGTTTTCTGAATAAAACGGCTCCTGGCCTGATTTCAGCTTCATGAAGAACAAAGACCTTCGTGTCCTTCACAGCGCTGCTGATCGTACACCAACATAAGTTCACCTCTTCAGGCCTTAGTGTCCAGTTTCTTCTCCACAGACTTCAGCAGCAGCTCGGAGTACTGCTCCAGCAGAGCCAGGGTCTTGGACCCTTCGCCCTTTGACCCCCTGGCCTCTTCGTACTGGGAGGAATGGAGAGGCAGAGAGTCCAGTTCGGTCTTTACCAGAACCAGAGCCCGAGACAGGATGTTTCTCATCTCCTGCTGATCTTTACATGGGGGCTGCTCGCTCTTCAGCAACTGTTCCAAACCAAAACAGACAGAAAGCTCACATCACTGACACGTTAGCTAACATTAGCTGACATTAGCTGACATTAGCTGGTTTTAGCTCATTTTAGCTGACCTTAGACATCTAACATGTTTATTAAGAAATGATAAGATTTTAGACAAAAACATCTGGAATTTGTTGCATTTATTTTGAAAACTGTTATAAAGTTGTATAACAGTAAAACGCACA